CTCTCTTCCCTACTTTCCTGGAAGAGTAATTGGGATAAGATATTAAATGAGTATGTTTCCTGTCTTTTAAATTAGCCAGTTAACATGGAGCTTTTAGTTTTATAATCTGATATACAAATTAATATTTTGATGCCACATCATGTTTTAACAGTTCAAAGACCTTCATGGCAGATTTAATGGCCAATAGCTTCTTTCAGAGTGAAAGAACTAACACATATTTTTTTACCATTATAAGGTGAAGAGTTTTTCACTGTCAGCATAAGCCATTTTATGGGTTTCCTCATTCTTCAGCATATTATCTCCTTTAATTTCTGTTTATCACCGTCCTGTTGAAATATAAGTTCATGTTTGACTCTCCTTCTGGTTAATTTTGGGCTTAGAAAGCATGCAGTCTTGGTTTTTCAGTCACTTGTAGTTTGTCACACAACAGAGCCTACTTTTATAAAATCAAAATGAAGGTCTTTTGATACCTTGCACTTGCTAAAAATCAGTTGTGCTTTAAAAAAGAGCTCTTTGTAGTTGAGTAATCAACTCAGTACCTATGCACATTTGAATTTGGGTTTCTGTGTTCCACCCTAGCCTGCCTTACCATTTTCCTGTAGTAGGTGTTCATGGGGAAGTAGGCAGATCAGTGAAGACATCAAAGTCTATGAAGACCTTCACTTCTGTCATTGTTCAGAGTAACAATAGCCACAGAGAATAACTGAATCGTTACTACTTGATAGTTCCTTCAAAGCTTCTGTGAAATGTAAAGGCCAGATCAGTCTTGTTTTTCAAGATCCCATGGACCATTATTTGGGGGTCCATAGCAGGGAGGGAGGGAATTAGCACAGCTGAGACTCAGCATGGGAGGCCCGCCTGCCTCACCTAGACTACCTGGTAGAGAAACCCACTGGCCTCTTTTCTGGAGAGAACATGTATCTTTCTTTTCTTTATTTCTCTCTCTTTTTCATCATATTATTTGTAAAAAGCTAGTTTACTTTAAATAGAAAGTAGTGTTTACATCTGCATTGTATTCACTCAAGTTTTATAAAAATATGAATATATTTTACATTGATCTAACATAAAAGTTGAAAACAATGGTACTAAAGAGTCAAATAGTTTTTCCTCCCTTTTGTATTTTGCCAAGAAACTGAAAAATGTTCCTTGGTGTGTATGTATCTTTCTTTTCCTAGGTAAAACCACCATTAGCCTTAATGATAGGGTTCCCATGTATCTAAAAGAATATATGCTTCAGGGCCCAGGATTTAGCTCAGTGGTTCCACTGGCTGCCTCACAAGCACAAGGACTTGAGTTCTATCCCTGGTACCAAAAAGAAAAAAAAAAGAATACATGCATCAGTGGAACACAGAGAGGAATGTAAATAAAACATACATACAATACTTAAGCAGTCAAATATATACATATTTGAATTGTATATTTATTTTAAAATGTATTTTTAAAATAAACACAATTTACAATGGACAGAAGGTAGATGTGACTATTAAAATCTAAGAACATAAATTCATAAGTTGCTGTATAGCTGTCATAGTCTATTGATGGAGTCTTTGAAGATTAAGTATTGATACTTTCATCATTTCTTAAACTCTTCAATAAAGTTTTCTAATTATATTAAAAAGACATATTTTGGTTCAAAACATAAAATCATTTTCACTCTTAAAATTTATCCTCTAAGGACAGTAATGAGATGATGTGTAATGCCTATGTTTAACTAATTTGAAGAGTAAATGTGTACATTCTCCACAGACTGCCTATTTTGAAATTTGTTTCTAAACTACAGCCTGATAAATATTTCTGGGTAACTGGGAGTAGCAGTCAACACTGACTCTGCCAGAGTCCTTCAAGGAGTGTTTGACTTCAGGGTGCTGTTTGGACACAGGATGAACATTTACAACTTTGTCTCCTCGTCAGTTCAACCTGGAATCTGATATGTTATTTTTTGGGGGAGTGTGTGAAAATAAAGCCAAGAGAAATCAGTAAAAAAAAAAAAAAGTATATACTGTAGCAAAATGAGAAAAATGGTTTTGCAAAATCAAGTTAAATTCTTAAGGTCATATAAATATGTAAAGTGACAAGTACCAATGATTAAAATTAAATGTGGACAAAATTACTTTCATAATTAATCATTGGTGATTATATTTTATAGTTACAGTCATTTCCATTTATCAAATATACATTAATATTTACATCTCTCAAATAGAATTTGGCTCAAATATTCATTTTTAAAATGTGAAGATGAACTTCATGTTTAAATTTGAGGTTTAATCACAAAGAAGAAATAACTTTGAAAATAAATACAGTATCTATGCTCTTGTGTAAGTTCAATTTAACACAGAAAAACATAAAAAATAAAGAGAAAAATAAAAGATATATAGATTTCTTACAAAAGCCAAAAATATCTAGAGATGGAGGGAAGGGAGAGAGTGGGGAGGGGAAAGGGATGAAAAAAGAATTGAGAGGTGTCTTGTACAGGTACTAACTCCCCAGAAGGAATGTAATCATTATGTACTGCAAGTGTACTAAGAAAAATCCCTGAAAAATCCTTGAAATGTAAATATAAAATGTGATTATAAAAATGTCATACCATAAAAACAACTGTATAAAAAGAATGACCACTTACTGTTTTTCAAGGTGGAGAGTGTAACTTTTCTTTTCAATATCGATGACATAAGTGACCTGCAGTGAAGTTTTCAGGGAGAAAGTAATCATTAGAAATTCCAGCTTCTAAGCAGTAAAAAGTTGTAACTTTAAAAAACATATGTACTCTTTCACATAAAAACATCTTATATCTTGTATGTCTTGAAATTATATTACATATATATTTTTACCTTTGTTGAGTCTTGGATGTATAAAATGATTATAATTAAATTTAAATCAAATCAGTCTACTTCAAATTTAAGAGCATAAATCATTAATGTTCTCCAACCCCAGCTGCTTGGGCACACAGGCCCAAGCCAAGGACCCACCTGGAAAGGAACTGCAAAGATGAACAAGCAACAGGCAGAGGCTCACCCTGATACCATCAGTAAGTGCATGGAGACCCTAGCCAGAAGCCTGCTCAGACATCACGGACTGGGTTGCACAGCCCCCAGCCAAAGGCCCTCCCAGACCACAGCTACATACAGGGGGAGGCTGTAGCCAGAGGCACACCAAGATATCATCCCAAGTGTGCACAGGTCCCAGCCAGAAGCCCATCCAGACAACAGGTCAGCTCAGGGATCCAGAAGGGAACCATTCTGAACCCAGGAATTGTGCACCTATAAATATTCAAGAAGTTAACATCATCACTCTTCCTTAGAGGATACCAAATAAACAAAAAAATAATAATAATACAAGAAAAAAGAACAAAATTAGCAAAATTTGTATATTTTTTTCAAAATTTCTTTTTTTTCCCCATTAAGTTTATTGGTGCATTGTAGGTATAAAATACAGTTACATTCATCATTGGGATCTTGTACCATTACATGAGTCTCTTGGTTCTTTTTTTTCCCCTTCCCTTGCCCTCCCTTCACTATTTGAAAAGAATTTGTTTCCATTTTTTTCCT